AATCAACCAGTTCTACCAGGATATTATTTTACTTGTATGTAATCACTGTGGGTTATCGAATTTTATCTAAATATGATTTAAAGTATATTTCTGCCTGATTTAAGAACTCTCTGTAAACTTTTATTTTCATTGTTTTTATTTAGGGAAAATTCACACAAGATGAAATTTACATTAATATTTTTGAAGCATACTACTATTCTGTAGGATTAAGTGCATTTTCAACATTGTACAACTGCTACCTCTATCTATCTATTTCCAAAACATTTACATCATATTTCAAAAAGAAACCCTGTACCCATAATTTAGTCATTCCCCATTCCTGCTATTCCCAGCTCTCAGCAATCACTAATTAACTTTCTGTCTCTATTTACCTATTCTAGATGTTCCAAATAATAATATATGACCATGTGTATCTGTCTTCCTTCACTGAGCATAACAGTCAAGGTTCATCCATATTATAGTATGTAGTGAATTTTTATGACTGAATAATAATATTCCATCATGATCATATATACCACATTTTGTTTATCCATTCATCAGTTAGACATTTGGCTTCTTCCATTTCCTGGCTATTATGAAAAATACCGGTATGTACATTCATATACAAGTTTTTGGTGAACATGTTATCTTCTCAAGTACGTACCTATCAGTGGAACTTCTCACTTATAATCCTATATTTAATTGAGAAATTTATAAACTGTTTTTCACAGTCGCTGAACCATTTTACATTCCCACCACTAATACACGAAGGTTCTAACTTCTCCACATCATTGACAATTCAGCTTTTTAAATTTGTTTTATTATTGTAGCCACCCTATCTGGGTATGAAGTATCTACTGGTTTGAGTTGCATTTCTCTAAGCTAATAATGATGTACTTCTTTACATGTGCTTCTTGATCATTTGTATATATTCATAGGAGAAATACCTAATCAAATCCTTTGTCCATTTTTAATTGGGTTGTCTTCTTTATTGAATTGTAAGTGTTCATGATCTATTCTGGATTCTATATCCTTATCATATATATGATGAGCAAATATTCAATTTTTTTAGTTGTTGCCTTTTTACTTTGGTGATACTGTCCTTCATTTCACAAAAGTGGTTGCCATTTTTCCACCTACAGGATTTTTCTATAAATTCTTTCATAAAATCATGGTGTTATAAGTGCTGATATGTTTTACTTTTGTAGCAACTTTTATTGGTTTCTTTCATAAGCATGCCTGTAATTGTATACCACTATTGTGTGCATTTATCTGACACATAGGTTTTGTTCTGTTATATTTTTACTAAAGCTATAAGTCACAGTAAAAATGAACAAAAATGAATTATTTGGGTTCCTTTATCATTCTATTTCAATTAAATGGCTGACAGTTGCTCCTCATAAAACTGTTGCAAAATTAGATAAAATCAGAATATTATTGCACTTCTTTTAAAAATAGATTCTCTTTCAAGTTGTGATGCCTTTTTCCCCTGCTTTATGAGATAAGGATTTAATTTCAAAAAGTCAGTTTAGAAAATAAATTACTATTTTTATTTCAGTTTTGCAGAATGCTTTTATATTGCTGCATTGCATTTAACATCCTTCTTTTAAAAAGATGTTTCTTAATATGTACTTTTAAAATAATTGAGATGTTACCTCATGTTTTCTAGTATTTAATTCCAGAGAATCATTAGCAGTCTTAAAATGTGACTCAGTTTTTCATGAAATCATAAATAACTTGTTTTCATTTTTTAATGTTCTCAAAATGTCTGCTTTGATACAAATTCTTAAAATATTATTAATTCAGAAGTTCGTAGAAAACTTCCTGAGAAAGAGACAATGCTGAGTGCTTTTCTGAAATAAAAAAATGAATCATCAAGAATACAATAATCTTTTCATCATTGCAGGTTTTCTAACCAGTTGGAAAAAAATAATTCCTTTTTACTCAGATCCATGGTATATAGTCAGTACAAGACAAGGAATTTAGGCATATGTAGTAAAATATGCTGGTATTTCCTTTTTAAAAATACCTGACATTTCTACAGAATTAGAAAGTGTTCATCATTTGAAGTTGACAGTATCAGGGAAAATATAGTATTCCTGGGGTGGGCAATAATAAATCAATTAAAGATACAACCAAGGTAGTCATTTTAATGGTCTTTATAACTAATAGCAAGAATTACAGGAAAATAGAGAAAATGAATGAAAGGACAGTTTGTGATGCAAGTGACAGCATAGCTATCTGAGTCTGGGACTAAACATAGAAACTAGGCAAATGTATCAGACCTTAGTAAGTCTAAATGCAGAACGATATCCTGTAGCTCAACATCTACATCAACTGATGCATCATTCACATGAGGCAGGAAAAGTAGTGCCAACCATGTAGTAGGCTGAAGAGAACTTATATAAAGGTGATTGATATAGCAGAGGGTCAGATGCCAATTTCCAGTTACCAAAGAAATGATCGGGATTAGTGGATAATTTTGTCATTAATCATTAGCAATGCTATAAATCTCTGAATATACATCTTTAGAACTAAAATAAAATAAATTTAGAAGTAATCTTATTAAGAAAGCATTTTAGATCAAAATTCTGCATTCAAGTATGCATACTAAAAATTGTAAATTCTTTACCTGCAAATATTCCAGATCTGACACACAAAAAAGAGGAAGATTGTTTTGATTATTTCTTTTTTAAAATACTTTTTTTTTTCAGAAGAGTTTTAGGTCCACAGCAAAATTGAGTAGAAGTTACAGAGATTTCCTATATACCCTCTACCCCCACACATGAATAGTGCCCCCCCCCACCATTATCAACACTCACCACCACAGTGGTACATTTGTTACAATTAAACCTATATTGACATATCATTACCACTCAGTCCACAGTACACAATATGCCTCACTTTGGTTGCTGTATATTCTATTCTATATAATGACATGTATCCACCCTTAATACCATCATACAGAGTAGTTTCATTGCCCTAAGAATCTTCTCTATCTCTTCATATCTCTTGCCCCCAATAAACCTGTCAACTACTATTTTTTTTCCATCTCCATGGTTTTGCTTTTCCAGAATATCACAGTTGATATCACGAAGAATGTAGCCTTGTCAGATTGACTTCTTTCAATTAGTAAGATATATTTAAAATTCCTCCATGTATTTTCATGGCTCACAGCTAACTTATTTTTCTTTGTAGCACTAAATAATATTCTATTATCTGGATTACATCTTATTTATTCATTCACTTAATGAAGGACAACTAGGTTGCTTCTAACTCATACATTGTAAATAAAACTGATATAAACATATGTGTCCAGGTTATAAAAGTTTGAAACTAATGAGTAAATACAAAGGGATGCAATTGATGAATCACATGAGTCTTTATGGATTTGTAAGCATAAGAGTATGTTTAGTTTTGTGCCTCCCCTGGTGGTGCAGCGGTTAAGGGCTGGGTTGCGAGGCTGCCCACAGCCTCTGCAGCGCCAGTTCGATCCCCGGCCACCAGCGAGGGTCCCACAAAAAAAAAAAAAAAAAAAAAAGAGTATGTTTAGTTTTATGGGAATGACCAGACTGTCTTCCAACATGATAGCACCATTTTGCATTCCCACCAACAATGGATGAGAGTTCTGCTTGCTCCACATTTCACCAGAATTAGGTATTGTCAGTGTTCTCAATTTTTGCCATTTTTTTGCTATTTTAATAGGTATTGAATGTTTGATAATTTCCTCTATAAAATGATTTTAATTTCCTTTCTTAATATCCACAGTATAAACAATATGTTATAGCATATCTATTTCTTCATCAAAAACAGAAAGTCAAGGCTTTCCCTTTATGGATACCCATTCCTAGCTGAGGAAACGAAAGCAGGAACCTGTACCCTAGGGGGGCGGTCGTTGTCAAAATTGTGAGAAGCTCGGTATAGGTTTAAAACAGAGCAGAGATTCCGCTTTATCATTGCTTGGATTTTCTTCTTTTTAAATCACCTTGATTTTTGTATAACTCACATAAAATGAAAAACACTCATTTTCATTGTAAATAAGTTCAGTTAATTTTGGCACATGCATATACCTGTTTAACTGCCACTACCACTACTAAGAACATTTACATAACTCCCTGCCATTGTATAGATAGAACACAATCCACTTATCCATACACCTGTGGTTGGAGCTTTGGATCACTTTATATGGTGGCCTATTATAAAGCTGCCATTGAAATTTGAGTATAAAACATTTTATAGATATATCTTTTTCATTTCTGTTTGATAAATAAATATATGGAGTAGAATGACTGGGTGATCATGCTAGGTATATATTTAAATTTATCAGAAACCATCAGATTGATTTCCAAAGTGGCTATAATCCCACTCACAAAATATAAGATTCCTGACTCTTCGACATCTCACTAACATTTTTCAGTTTTAATTTTAGCCATTTCATGGGTAAGTAGTGATACAACATTGTGGTTATCATTAGTAGTTCTCCCAAATTAATGATATTGGTAATCTTTTAATGTACTTAGTTGTCGCTCATATTGTTTAGTGAAGTGTCTGTTCAGGTATCTCCCCCAAATTATATTGAGATGGTTTTCTTAATATTTTGTTGTAAGAGTGATTTAAAAAAAAACATATATGGGCACTAGGTCTTTGTCAATTATATATATAAAGAGAATCTTACCTCCTAGCCTGGAGTTAGCGATCTGATTTTCTTAAAATTGTATTTTGAAAAGCAGATGTTTTCATTTTGATTGCTCCATCAAAGCTAGGAATGTCTGGTACTGCCCACTGGAGATGGAAGTCCAGGTTCTCTTTGACCTCCATTGACACCCAACGTGAAAGAGGCTATTCATTAGTGCTGGGCATTTGTGAGAGTACTATCTCCTTATATGATCTCCACTGAAACCCCAGTGGAGGTAAACTCATTACTACTGGGCAATGGTGACTGTCTAGGCCTTTTATGACATCACCACAATGGGGAGGAGCTACAGTACTTAGTTACTGTTGGTGGGGTTGGAAGTCTAGTTTATCCACATTGTTTCCATTGACACTGAGGGGAGAGGACTGTTTTCCAGCAATGATGAAAGTCCCAGGTTTGCTACTTGACCTTTTCTAACATTATTCTGGCAAGACTGTTCAAATGCCTCATTACTGCCTTGTGAGTATTATATACAGTCTAGGCTTCCTGTTCAGTCTCTGTTGGCATGGATGGAATACAATTTTTTTTCTGTGGTGTTTAGATGGAATAAGGTAGTTTTTCTAAAAGTGTTTTGTCTTACTGTCTCTTTCCTGGTCCTTTGACTAATGAAATCACCTTTTGGTGGGACTCTATATTTCTGTGAATTATTTCCTGGGTTGCTGGCTTCTTGTGATCCATGGCTGGGATGTATAAAGAAAAAGGAAAATTCAGTGAATTTAACATCATCTCATCCCTTGAGTCCTGAGTTCCTTAACTGAATTGCTGTGTTTTTCCACCTTTCAGAGTATTTTTATGTTTTTTTGATATATAATATTCTGGATTATTAATTTTCCATAGCAGGAGGAACAGGGAAATACTGCTTACTCCATCTTCCCAGAAGCAAATTTCTACTGATTGCTCTCTTTATTCTTTTAATCTTGAATAGCTTTTATTTTCTAATTTCAAATAACAGAGGAGATCTTAAGATTGTTTTGATTATTTAAGGGGATTTTGAAAAGCTGGAAAGCATTTGTCTGATACAAAAATCTCCTTATTGTTGTTGCTGCTGGTTAAGCACATTCATTGGTTTTTTTATTCCAGTAAACAAAAGTTGCCCATACATAGTTTTGATGACTATACAAAAATATTTTTCACACTGTATTAAGACAATTTGAGCACTTTGCAGCTATCATTAGGCTAACCAAGAAACATTTTGCATGAATATAATTTAAATTATTGTAAATAAAGTGCTTCATCTGCCTCACCTGATAAATATGAAATTACTTGAGCTGTCTTATTGTCCCTGTGCCAGTGCTAGAAAGACAACAACAAAATTGTAAAAGCAGCAATAAAAATAGTCTATCTTTTACTTAAATTGGCCCTTTATATAAACCAAGTATTTAGAAATTTCCACTGAGTTATCTCACCTGAGCTTTTACTTCACCTGCATCACCAAACATCCTGGCCATTTTCTTCCATTAGGTCCCCTTGGTCAAAATTCGTTTTCCCAGTACTATCTGAGGAGGTCGGAGGAACTTTCTCTCCCTAGATATATCTAATAAACTGTATGAGGTATTACTGCGTACCTTATCTATAAAATGATAATAATTATAGTATCTAGTTTATAGGGTTTACTTCATGTTCAACAAGATAATATCTGTAAAACCACTTATTTTAAAAAAGTGTATTTTAGGAACAGTATTAAGAACATTGAAAGAAACATTAATTGTAGCAGAAATGTTAGTACAACTTCTATAGCTGAGACTTTTTTTAGATCTGCCTCAATTGATACTCTTCAAATACCACCATCTGTCTATGCCCAGGTATATACCTGATACTTAAGGCATGTATACAAATTTCTTTTAAGGCAGAACATTACTGTTTGCAAAAGTAATATTATTAAAAATGAATAAAACCTTGTAAGAAAGGTGGTGACTATATCTTTTGAACTTGAAAACTTAAAGAAAATAAAGCTTACCATCATATTTTCTCCTGTTGTAATTCACCACACATCTCAGTGTTACAAATAGGAGTAAAGTATCCTGTATTGATTGCATTTTTTTTTTTAAACACAAATGGATGTTCCGTGAATGATATACAGGTTGCCCATTCTTTCCATTGTGTTCCAAAAATCAAGTGAGTATGTAAGTTATGAAAATACAGCTTGGTAAATAAAAACAAAGAGCGAATGCATGCTAGCTGTTAAAATTATTCGTACATTACCTTAAATATCAGTTTCAGTAGAAACCCATGCCTTGGTTTTACCATCTTCATCTAGTCAGATGAAGTGACAAGTCTGATTTTCTAATTCTAAGTAAATTTTAGGCTTCTGATTACCGTTTTTTCCCCCTTTATGAGAGAAAGTCAATAAACTCATAAATCACAAGTAGTTATTATTATCTTAAAAATTATTGTTCTTACATTCAAATTCAGTCCTTCCAACAACATCACCCCAATATAGAATATCATTTTAATGAGTTTTTGTCATTGCTTAGAAAATTATAGGTGAATATGTGTGGGATTACAGATTTGAAAGTGATTCCAAAGCCTGTTTCTTTTATAGAAATGTAAATTCTCCATCTTCTTTAGATAATATACCATATTTTATCAAAGCAATTGTCCTATAGATACTATATATTAATGGTATATTTATAGATTAATTTTCAAATGCCATGTAAAGATACTGTATATGGATATATAGATGTTATATGTGGATATAATTTATAGATAATATACAGAGATATTACTATGAATAAATGATGTAGTTGGAGAACAATGTTCCCCAATCACTTCTTGGGACTTCATATTATAAATCATACAAATAATTCTGCCCATGAGTTCCTAGTTTGGGGAATCCAGCCTTGCAATAAGAGGTTAGAAAAGTAAAACAGCAACTCTTGGGCACAGAGAAGAAAGAGACTACAAAGGTTTTATTTTTTTTAAAGATTCATTTATTTATAGCTTTGTGGATGCCACCCCCACTCCATCAAGACCCCAGGAACTACAAATCCCAATATCCCCAAAGGGAAGTTGCAAGGACCTAAGGACGGAGTTAAGCAGCCATTTTCTCTGTTTGTAAATAAAAACTAGCCATGTTAGTGGGGTCAGGCACACTTGGCTCATGCTCTTGGTCAGGCAGGTTTGGTCTCAGTGGGTCATTTGGGATTCCAGGTCAGCGAAACAGGTAGGACACATTTAAGAATTTATCTCCCTCTTTTCTCCCTGAGTTATACATTTCCTCATTCCCCTTCCCTTGAAATAAACCTTTTGTTAACCTTTAAAAAATAAAATTTTTTAAAAAAGATTATTTATACAAGAACTGGGGTATAGTCAGAGACGCAAGAGGGTGAAAGAATTCAGCAGAGACAGAGCAGGGGGCAGAACAGGCAGACGAACCAAAGACCCTGCTGAGGGGAGCAGTGGGCGAGGCATGAGAGGTCTGCCGTGCCATGTGGGAATCTCCCTGGCTGGCAGGGAATCGAACCCGTGCTGTAGAAGCTGCGGACAGCTTCACAGCGCTGCACTCAACCCGCTGTGCCACCAGGGAGAAAAAAAAAAATTATATTCAAAGTATAAATTAAGATAATGGCTGCTAATATCTCTGCCAAGGACAGTCTCCCTATGTGTTTCTCACCCACATGTGTCTTCCAAGTATCTTTTCCAAGAGTCTCTACGTGCATCCCCTTCACAAGTCTCCTCCAAGTCCCTGGGTGCAAGCTAAAACCAGAAAAGTAAGAGAAGCAGTTCATCCTGCCATTCATGTTACATAGAGGTTTCCCAGTTCCACCCTTAGAGTTCAGTAGCTCTCCTCTTCTGCTCAGGATGTCCAGGTCATGGCATACTGGGACTTTGTATTCATGGTGGCTGCATGTAAGTGGGGTAAGGAAAACGGCATCTCCTCATGGAGGTATACCTGTAACAATATCAATTGTAAGGCAAGCCTGTAGTTTTGCCTACTATCATTCCAATCCCCCCCACCCCCCCCACCCCGTGCTACCTCCACCAGAAAAAATAAGACCCAGAAGTCCACAAAAGAAGACTTCCTTTAAGATAATTTTTTAATCTATTTCTTGCATTTCTCATACATAGATTGTATCTGGTCTTAGAAGTAAAGATCCTCTGGATGTAAACAAAGTATTTCCATTCACAGGCAGATGTTAGATTACTGTATAGTTTCTGAAACAAATATTTTCTTACGCTAATGTAATTAGCCTACCTGATGTAACAGTATAAAAGCTGGAACATACCTGGGAGGAGGGTGGGAACTGGAAGCAGCTCATCAAAACTCTCTGTGTCAATCTGTTTCTCCCTGCTAGGCCTCATTCCAGACTTTGAAAGATAAAGCTACTTTATTCACCTTTTCTAATCACAGAGTGATTATTTTTTGGTCAAGTTTACACTAATGAAAATTGTATCATTTTAATTTTTAATTTATAAAAGAGCCTCAGTGTTTCTCACTTGCAAATCTCACATAAGTAGATCATTATGTATTCTACAGTTAAGAAACAACCCAATGGCAATCCTATATATATCCGTGTCATAAGATTTTTTGGAAAATTTAAAAGGTCATATAACAGCATCACACAGTGTACTGCTGTTGAGCTCAGTTTGACATACTAAAAGACCTACAGTGTCAAGATCATATGGTAAGGAGACATCAGTGAAAATGACAAAGTAAGAACCACTAACAAATTTCTCCTTCATAAAAGCAATAAGCACAGTGCAAGAAAAAATGTCAAATTGGTTTCTTTAGAAACTTGGAAATTAACCAGAATCTTGTAGCAATGTGGGTGGTGTTTATTCGAGGAAAACATGAATCTTGGTAATAACAGCAAGCTTTGTAGTACTTTAAGCTTACTCTATTCTCATCCACCTCTACCCAGGTTTAGCAGTATTCTTGAAACCAATAGCTCACCATCATGGAGAAAACCAAAACCTTTGAAAATTTTGCAGGGATTGAAGAGTTGGAAGGTCTTCTAAGGCTCATTCCCAAGGAATTATCATTATTTGACATTTGGAATATTCCTTGAAAGATCTCAATTACAAGAGTATATTTACTTTAGAAACATATTCATGCTGAAAATCTTTTTCCCAGGGACCTTGGTCAAGGACAAATGTGGGCGATTGTGACTGCCTATGGCAATGAATATTGGTGAAGCAAAAAGTAGACCATTCAAAAGATTCTATGATAAAAGATTTTGAATTAGATACCCATGGAAATTTTGAAAAGCTGTGAAATATTCTTGGGAATCTAGAAGTCCATATGTAGAGCTGTATACATGCCCAAACCTGTGCACATACTCAAGAAATATCTAAGATCTAAGAAGGCCCTTAATTAGCATTACTAATTGACCTTGAGATTTTGTAAAAGCATGGAATAAAGACTAAAGCAGAGTTTTTAACTATCTGCCTGGGTGTTTAAAGATATGCCTCAACAAACATAGACCCTTGGCAAAGACTGAGAAAATTATTAGTTCCAG